AAGAGTGATAGAACAGGTGGTCTATCTAGACCAATTCTGGAGTAACAACCAGCTCTGGTTGTTGACTTTGAATGTAGTTTCTGGATGAGAAGTCTTGAAGCCTGGTCATCTGGACCCCTCAGTGGTCTGTGTACCACCAACTTCCTCTAAAATATGTTATTTTTTCTGTTTAAATTAGTCAGTTGACTTCCGTTACTTGTAACTAAAACCCTGACTAACACTAAGGGTAACATTATAAAATAGTGGTGGTTTGGTGGAGGTGTAGGATGTGGGAGGTGCCCCTAGGAGAGGGTGACATTTAAGCTGAGCCCTGGATGATGACAGAGAGTGTTCCAGGCAGAGAAAACAGCATGTGCAAAGGTTCTGGTGCAGAAATGAGCTTGACCTGCTTGAGGGGTAGAAGAAAGGAGTAGAATGAACAAGGAAAAGATTTTTAGACTAGAGAATGAGAAGCAGAGAAGACTTTGTATGGTGGGTAGGTAACTTGGATTTATTTTAACTGCAACAGGAAGTGGTTTAAGGTTAGGAGTGGTTTAAAGGGGTTTAAAGTCAGGAAAGGTGTGCATCAGTGTTGTATCCTTTCACCATACCTATTCAATCTGTATGCTGAGCAAATAATCTGAGAAGGTGGACTATATGAAGAAGAACAGGGCATCAGGATTGGGGGAAGACTCATTAATAACCTTCGTTATGCAGATAACACAACCTTGCTTGCTGAAAATGAAGAGGACTTGAAGCACTTACTGATAAAGATCAAAGACCACAGCCTTCAGTATAGATTGCACCTCAACATAAAGAAAATAAAAATCCTCACAACTGTACCAATAAGCAAACAGAGAAAAGGTTGAAGTTGTCAAGGATTTCATTTTACTTGGATCCACAATCAACACCTATGGAAGCAACAGGCAAGAAATCAAAAGACACATTGCATTGGGCAAATCTGCTGCAAAAGACTTCTTTAAAGTGTTGAAAAGCAAAGATATCATCTTGAAGACTAAGGTGTGCCTCACTCGAGCCATGGTGTTTTCAATTGCCTCATATGCATGCGAAAGCTGGACAATGAATAGGGAAGACTGAACTGATGCCTTCAAATTGTGGTGTTGGCGAAGAATATCGAATATACCATGGACTGTCAGAAGAACAAACAAATCTGTCTTAGAAAAAGAACAGACAGAATGCTCCTTAGAAGCAAGGGTGGCGAGAGTTCGTCTCACATATTTTGGACATATTATCAGGAGGGATCAGTCCCTGGAGAAGGACATCCTGCTTGGTCAAGTAGAGAGTCAATTAAAAAGAGGAAGACCCTCAACGAGATGGGCTGACACAGTGGCTGCAACAATGGGCTCAAGCATTACAACGATCGTGAGGATGTCACAAGGCTGGGCAGTGTTTCATTCAGTTGTGCATAGAGTTGCTATGAGTTAGAACTGACTCAATGACATCTAACAACACCAAAAACAAAAAGAAGCTACCAGATGGATTAAGCAGAGGAGTGATATGAGTTGCACTTTTAATGATCACTTGAGAATAGATACTCTGTAGATAATGGTTTAGAGGAAGCCAAGAGTGGAAAAATGGATTCTAGTTGGGAGGCTCTTGAAGTAAGGCAAGTGAGAGAAGGAAGACAGCATTGGATGGGGAGAAGATGGATTTAGGGGGAGGTAGAGCTGACAGAGGTTGCTGATGGATCAGATGTCAGAGTGAAGGAAAAAAAGAATCAAGGATGATTTCTGGGTTTTTGGTTTAAGGACTTGAGTGGATTTTGGCAACATTTACTAAATTGGTAAAGCCAGGGGTTGGGGGAGCAGTTTTGGGGTGAGTGAAATTTCATTTCAGACATGTTTAACTCTGGCTTCCAAGAGTAGATGCCAATAGGCAATATGGCAAGAGTCTGAGGCTCAAGGAAAATGTCAGGCTGGAGATAGGGCCATCAGCACAAGGATGCTATA